TTATCAGTTATGCTCTCCCATGGAAATGCCGATTAAGCAAAGTATTAATTCAAGAGACTTTTTCGCGTTTTTTCCTTTTGGGACTGTTTAATTTGAGAGCGAATGTGGCAACTCGACTGTTAGGAAATGGCCGAGCAACAATGCAAAATGCAACCAGACGCGATGGAATATTGGCTGTTGCTTCATCGGCTTGGACTCGCTCTTTCTCACTAAAAACCAGCACAAATTGCTCCATTGTGCCTAAGTATCCTAAACAGACCCGCGCTAATAAAAAAGAAAACAACCGGACAAAACTGGTGTTTTATCCACAGATAAGACAAGCTCGACATGTGATGCGGCCGAGAACTTTCATAAAAATCAGTTCTTTGGGTTACCAGAAGAAAGTGGATTAGAGAGAGACCATCTCTATAAATTTCATTTTACAGTATTAATTAAAAGATCAAATTATGCTTTTTGATAATTCCGATATAATTTTCGGCTCGGCGTAAAAGTGCATTTGCCAAAAATTGATATTGTGGAGCTGGTCAGTTTTAGCTTTGAGCCCACGATATGAAAACAATGAAATGCAGTTCACAAAAATACATTTTTCTCCCTTCAAAACCCAACCGAAACCAAAATCATTCGGCTTCTCTGCCATCAGTGAAAGTAAAATCGTCTTAAAACGAGGTTAATCAACAATCATCACCGATTTACATAAAATGCCGGCCATCCACTATCGATGACAAATCGAAGCGGATATGAAATTGAAAAATTGGCCTCATTAATTCTCAACTCACCAAGGATCTTCTATGGATTGTAGAGATTTGAAATCGTTAGTTGCTTTAGTTTCAAAGATGCGCCTTTTTAAAGGAAAGAGCGCAGTTGACAAAAACATCTATTTTCAAGTCGACGTTTACCAAGCTGACAAAAATCAGCAATCCGGGCGATTTGAGTAAAACATTCTGCACCTGTAGAGTCAAGTGTCGGCTACAACTGGTAAAAGTTTCCAGTTGCTAGTTCCTGGACTTTGAGAAATACGAATTTTCTAAGAGAGGGCGCAATCGGTTAAAAACATCCAATGGGGGGTATTAACTCGGCCGGCAAAATCAGGATTTGCGACAATTTCCATAAATTTTGCCTCATCCGTCTCGCAAAATGTCCTCTATGGATGATAGGGATTTGAGATCGCTCCTTGAAAATCGATATTCAGGATTCTCACTCACACAAAATGAATTTCAGATTCCGCGAGAAGCCCATTGGCTGCTACTCATCGTCTGCACGCTGCGCCTACCAGAATCGCTAGGCGAACGAACTTACGATACCAGCGAATGGATCCCCATAACGCTGCATCCGCTGCAGGCCAGCGGATCAGAAGCCATCGAGCACCAAGCGCCCAATGAGCGCGTTCTCACTCTGGACGCTTCCCCGAAGAATTTCTTCCCCGACTATCAACAGCGACAGCCCAACCAGATCCAGCCGCCCGGGCCGAAGAAGCTCTTCGATCCCAAGCCGAGAAAGTTGAAGTTTCCCACCGAGTACAGCTTTGAAACGCCGCCGCCGCCCCAGAAGTCGCACATCGACTACTACGATCATGACGCCTCTTATCTGTACGACCAGACGCCCAGAGTGAAGCAACAGAGGCCGGTAGCTGATCGCTATGTGGCGGTGCCCAGTGTTAACCCGCAAGCCCCTAAACCGGACGCCCCTGATCTGTACGAGCAGTATCAGTTGCCCTTTAACAGCAGCTTCTACCACTCGCTGAGCCCCAGCTCGATCAACAACGACTTCTACCAGGCGATTCGCAACAATGAAGCCAATATCAATGCCAGTGACCGGCAGGCCCCTCGATCTCAAGTGGAGCAGGAGACTGTGCAGCTGGTCTACGTCCCAGTGGAGAACTTGAAGGCCCAGCCCCCAAAGAGCGAAGGGAGTTTGCGGGAAAGGTTCTCTCTGCCCGCCTACTCGCCAGTTGTTAGTCAATATCAGGCCACCCAAAAGCCCTTCTACGGCAGCCTCCCAGATGCGCAACTGTCGGTTTCTACTCCCGAGAGCAAGCAGACAAGGCTGGAGAGCATCCGACAGGACTATCTGCAGCAAAGCCTTGGAGCCGAGAGGCTCCAAGAGCAACTAGCCGACGATATCAACCCTTTGAAGCAAGTCTACGCTTCAACCACAGCCAAACCCTCCCTAAAAGCGCACCAGCCGCCGCTGGCCGTCTTCCTGGAATCGCAACAAAAGGCCGAAATCGTCGACGTTCTGAACATTCTCAGGGGGGCTAAAAGCATTGCCGTCCAGGACAAAGTGACTCCGGAGTCGCCGCAGATCTTCATCGGCCCGTCCAACCTCGACTCCCCGGACGGATACACCAAGTTCCCGCTGCCCTACCTGAACAACATCAACGGCAACCGGATTGAGCGCAAAATCGACCAACTGCCCTTCTTCGTAGCTCCGGTGGGCTACAAAACGCCACCTGGATATGCCAAGATAGCGCTTCCGTCGCCCCATGTGGGCTCCGTTGTGGTCTCAGTGCCCTCGTCCTTGGAGCAGACGCCCCATAATCAAGTGCTGTCCTTCAGTTCGCCCGCCTTCGAGCCCCCACGGACACAACGCGTCCCGGACACGTACGACCTGCTGAATCCGGGCGGCGGGGACTACCAAAGCAACCTGGACTCGTTCAGGGGCCAATACCAAAGCACTCTGGATTCGGTTAGGGGGCAGTACCAAAGCACCCAAAGCCCCCCAGTGTCGGAGTTTAATGGACTGGCAGTATCCACACCGACGCACAGTAAGCACACTATTTGTCTGTACAGGGTGTCCCACCGGAACCACCGCGATCCATATCTGGCAAACTATGATTAGGGGAAAGTTGGAAAGTGGACCGCATATCGCGGTCATTGCGGGAAAGCGATCCGAGATATTTGCAAGATGCCCACACTTCCGGTTACACCGGAAGTGGGCATCAACTTGCTAATTTTAAATGGGACACCCTATGCAGGGTTATTCACGCTATACGGACGGACGTTCGCGGCTAGCCCGTTTGTTTTTTGCAAAGTATTATTTGATGAATCCACAGACGC